AGAAAGTTCTACAGCGATTCCATGTTAGCATGGATACGAAGCCAGTTGGTGTACCTTTGGGAGCCCATTTGAAGCTTTCAGCTGGTCTTTCACCAAAGTCAGTTGAAGATCGTGAGTTGATGTCGAAGCCTCCATATGCGAGCGCGGTTGGGAGCTTGATGTACGCAATGGTATGTACGAGACCAGATTTGTCACAGGCGGTAAGCATGGTTTCGAGATACATGCATGATCCAGGAGTGGGTCATTGGGACGCCGTGAAATGGATTTTGAGGTACATTCGAGGTACGCTTAATGTTGGTTTGGTTTATGAGCGGGACACTACAGGTGGGCAGTTATGCATTGGCTATGTTGATTCGGATTATGCCGGGGATTTGGATAAGCGCCGGTCTACTACGGGGTATGTGTTTACTTTGACATGTGCACCGGTGTGTTGGAGATGCACCTTACAGTCGACGGTAGCTTTGTCTACGACGGAGGCAGAGTATATGGCAGTTACGGAGGCTGTGAAGGAGGCTATTTGGCTTCGAGGACTTTTGGAGGAACTTGGTATATCGCAGAGGTCCGTCACTATTCATTGTGATAGCATGAGTGCTATCTATTTGGCGAAGAATCAGGTTTTTCATGCGAGGACGAAGCACATTGACGTTCGTTATCACTTCGTTCGAGATGTTCTTGAAGATAGCGATGTGGAAATTGTGAAAGTCCACACGAAGGATAATCCGGCAGATATGCTCACTAAGGTGGTTCCGAGCAACAAGTTTGATCATTGTCGAAACTTGTTGCACATTCGTGATTGTTGAGGCCGTTGGCGGCCATTTGGATGAACTACGGGCGGCTTGATCCCTTGGGAGAGGGGGTACGTAGGCAACCACATTGTGGGACATTTGGTTGCTTTGGTGTCGGCTCAGTTTTGAGAAAACTTCACCGAGGTGGAGAATTGTGAACAGGAGACGTGGGGGCCACCCACGTGAAGGAAACCGCGTGAATATTTCACGCGTGAAGCCGGCCCACCCGATTCATGTGGTTATAAATGCACATCGGGTAATTTACTAGGGTTCTGTGCATTGAGGCTTGGGTTGCGGCTACAGAGAAAAGTACAAGGGAGTTTTGGTTTCTCTCTCTTCTGCGGCAGAGAGTAGGGAGGTTTGTTTTCTTCTTTTGCGGCTGCAACAGGAGCAAAGGAAGTTGGGTTTGGTGCAGTCCTTTTGTGTAGTCTTTTGTAGAGAGTTTGTGAGGGATTTGAGAGAGTTTGTTTGAGGGTTTAGATTGTGAGTGATTGTAAACCCTAGTTGTATTCTCTCCCTCTATTAGTAGATATCCCCCCTCCTTGCCCCGTGGACGTAGGCAATTTGCCGAACCACGTTAAAATTGGTTGTACTGCCTTTGTGTGATTTGTAATAGCTTTTTAGGATCCCTCGACAGGTCAGTCCTAGAACTGATGAGAGGAAGAGCCGATATCTCACTTGGTTGAGATATCCGCTTCAGATTCTTGTCTCCTTGGTGAGACGGGAATTCTTATTGCGATCTGACTCTCTTGTTGTGCTGCCGAAGTGCTGCCGAAATTTCCGCTGCGCGCAACACGACCTCTATGTAAAGTTATGTTATTTGTAAGATACTAAAATTAGTACAGCTCTGTAAGTTATATCGAGTTACCAACAAGATATTCTTTGTGATATTCTTATATCAGACATTCTTCTGTACAACCAAATTCAAAATGTTGGACTTGGGTCTAAATTGTTTAATCTGAAGAACCTAGTTCTCTTGACATGGCTTTTAGATTTTAACAATATTATTTACAGGCTAAACTACTTTTAAGTTTCAGTATTCGATTCATACTCTAAAACATTCGACGAAATATACATATTTAAAAGATGGGAAAGGTCATCAAAAGCCAGGTTTGATGCAGCGAAGGACTCCATCCACTAAGAACCATTTATAGCTCATTAGTGTTGCATTTTTTCTGTTCTCTTCATATTGATCTCAACTATTTCACATTTATTGGCGGTTAGATTTTTAAAACTGCTTTGGCGGTGAAAAAACCAACATTATACGAAGCTAATGGTATTCAAGTTTTTCATCAAGCTTAGGAAAGCCTGTATTCTAAGTTTCCAGGCTCATATTTCACAATATTGTTTAGAAGTGCCCTCTTCTCCTTCAAAACTATAATTCACAAGCTAATTATTTCTCCGGTTATCTCGAATAAAGACGAATGTAACCACCTGTATTAGCTTGCAAGTTACGGTTAAGTAGGATCTGTATTGACAAACTGGACCACGTTTATAAAAATTTTGTAGAAACAGAATCACACAGAACAAAATCAAGATTGATCCAAGGATAAATTATTTGGCTCCAAAAAACTACTATTACATCACATACTTTATTATTGCACTCTACATCTCTGATCTCAATTAACACAATCATCCAAAGCTCTATAGAGTGATTTCAGACGGATCCACCGTTCGCTCTTATCACCTGTCCATTAACCCATTCTGCTTCATCCTTGCAAAGAAACCCAACCACCGGCGCCACATCCTTAGGCTCCCCAATTCTCCCCATTGGAATCCTATCTACCGACCTCTTGATATCCTCTTCAGTTTTACCCTCAAAGAACAGCTCAGTCGCGATCGGTCCAGGCGCCACGCAATTCACGGTAATTTTCGTTCCCCCAAGCTCCTTTGCCAATATCTTCACCAGCGTCTCCACCGCCGCCTTTGATGCTGTATACGCACCATACTTCGCCAATAGCGCTCCAACCAAAGAAGTTGATATCATGACAATCCGCCCTCCGCCGCCACGAACGATTCTGTTAGCGGCTTCTTGACAACACAGGAAGGCGCCACGAGCATTGACATTGAAAATGGCATCAAAATCTTCTACAGGCATAGAAGAGATCGAGAATTTGGAGTCAGCAATGCCCGCAGAATTGACGAAGATGTGCACGGGAGAACCGAATGCTTCTTCCGCACGGTCGAACAGGGTTTTAGGTCCTGATGGATGGGATACATCGGCTTGGACTGCGATGGCTCGCAATTCACGGTAATTTTCGTTCCCCCAAGCTCCTTTGCCAATATCTTCACCAGCGTCTCCACCGCCGCCTTTGATGCTGTATACGCACCATACTTCGCCAATAGCGCTCCAACCAAAGAAGTTGATATCATGACAATCCGCCCTCCGCCGCCACGAACGATTCTGTTAGCGGCTTCTTGACAACACAGGAAGGCGCCACGAGCATTGACATTGAAAATGGCATCAAAATCTTCTACAGGCATAGAAGAGATCGAGAATTTGGAGTCAGCAATGCCCGCAGAATTGACGAAGATGTGCACGGGAGAACCGAATGCTTCTTCCGCACGGTCGAACAGGGTTTTAGGTCCTGATGGATGGGATACATCGGCTTGGACTGCGATGGCTCGAAGATTGGCTGAATTTGAATTGAGTTCGGACGCGAGGAGATCTGCTTGAGTTGAGTTGGTGGCGTAGTTGATGACGAGGTTCGCGCCGAGGGAGGAGAGGTGAACGGCGATGGCTCGGCCGATGCCGCGGGAAGAGCCCGTGACGATTGCGACTTTGCCTGCGAGGGGAAGGGCCATTTGGATTTTTGTCTGGATTTGAGAAAAATATAGAACGGAGAGTGTTCGAAGAGAATTTGAGAATGGTTTGGATTGAAGGTGAAGGTTATTTATAGAAGATGATGGTCATGTTGAAATACAGTAGCAAGTGTTGCAGTTTTTGTCGTCAGGGGCTGCCGTCAGCAGCTTGATAAATTAAAATTATAAAGCATATTAAACTACATGTTTAAACAAATTTCTCATATGACACGTACATGATGTTGCTATAAATTATTCCCTTGTGCTCATGGGCATCCATGTCTATTGTGACTTCATTGCCCAGTTTGTTGTGACTAATGGTTGAGTTTCTTATTCCTAAACTTGAAAAAGCACAACACTTTACTGTATAATTAAAATTATAAAGCATATTAAAATACATGTTTAAACAAATTTCTCATATGACACGTACATGAAGTTGCTATAAATTATACACTTGTGCTCATAGGCACCCATGTCTATTGTGACTTCATTGCCCAGTTTGTTGTGACTAGTGGTTGAGTTTCTTATTCCTAAACTTGAAAAAGCATAACACTTTGATTCCTAGGAGATTGATGACTCGAAACACAAACATATAGCTGTCCTAAAGATATGATATGCAACATGGCAACTGATGAGTTAGTTGAATCCACTAAGGATAAAAGACTGAAGCATCAGGCTTCAAAGTCATGGTTCTAAAGAACGCTGCTAATGAGATTGCATTTTTCGCGATAAGATGTAGCATCACCAATCATTTAACATTAGTCGCAAAATATAAATACAATTAGATAAATTACAAAAAAAAGGAACAAATTAGATAAATAAATACAATTATGTTAAAGGAAATACATAATGATATTATATCGCAAAAAGTACACGATGAAGAATAGGCAGTACAAAGAGTGATATTAAATTGCAAGTTAATGCAACCAAATTCAAAGGAACACGCCAGAGCCAAAAGAAGAAAATATGAAATTTTAAATTTTAAATATGTGGGAATTATATTAGAAAAAGAACAACATTAAAAGACAGAGTTATTAATTAAGCAAATAGTTAAATAAAAGTTATTATAATATTATTATTCTAAGAGCAATAAGAAACCATGCGTATTTAAATATTGATTCATTCTAATTTCAACTTCTACTTGGAAAACAACATAAACCTTATTTGAGAAGGATGCGGCTAGATTGATGAGAAGACCATGAAACCTAAAAACCAAAACCTGGCCAACAAAAAAAAAGGAATAACATTCGTATCAAAAATAAATTAGCACATAAATTATGGTAAAAGAATATAAAATAACGTAGACGTAGAAACGGGGAGGCCGATCGGATATTGTTCCGATGACGACGAGTCCTGACAATAGCAGGTAAGAAATAAGTTTGAATTCTCAAGCCCTAATTTTCCAAACTTTGGAAAGAAACAATGGAGAAAAATTTTATTGATTTGAATAATTAAAAAGTTAATTCTCGATTTACAAAAGGAACTAATATTTATAGCCAACTAACCCTATCCTAACCCTAACCAAATAGAAAGTCTGAATTTAAAAGGAAATAACCAAAAATATGAAACTTTCCTAATCTGTTTCCGAGTCGACATGAGGCATGTCGAGTAGTGACGCCTTTCGTGTCGACTGGCATGTATCGACTAACATGTGTCGACTAACACCACCCTTCGTGTCGACTGGTATGTGTCGACTAACACCGCCCTTCGTGTGGACTAGGGTGTGTCGTCTCGTCCTATCGTCTCGACTGTCGACTGGGGTGTTTCATCTCATCTTGTCGTCTCGACTCGAGTTAAAATGTCAAGTCGTTGTCTGCTGATGTCGTCTCGGTCGATTCATCATCCGCTGATGTCATCTCGGTGGTTTCGACTGCTTTTCTTCTCGTCTCGTCCAATACTTGATCTTCTGTACCATAAAATAATGGCATATATATTAGTTTATAAAATCTTGGACAATAATGATTTCCACTCTAATCACAAATATGCCCTAAGGAAATATAACACATTGTTATAGTTGTCTAGTTGAACTGTGTGAAATAAATGGGCAGTTCAACATAATAAATGACCTATATCATGTGTATTTGCTTAAAATTTATATTTAATGGCTACACAGTAATAACACAACTCAATATTATGGCAAGGGTATTTAGCAATATAAATCCTTAGAAAATAGCCACATTTGCATTTCCCTCTATCCCTCTATAAATCTGCTATGAAGGAGTAGTGGCTGAAGGAAAATTAAAGTTTAAGGAATAAAACATTGCAATTAATATCACTTTAACATCAACGAACAACAAACCTAACATTGCAATTAATATCACTTTAACATCAACGAACAACAAACCTAACCTTCTATTTCAATATCCCTGTTTTTATTAGTATCATCTTAAAATTCGCGAACCACAAAATTTTGCAAATATTTCAATATCTATCACTAATATAAATTTAAAATCCTTTTTAATTACAAAGAATGTAACAAAACAACGGATAAGTAAAAAAAGGTCAATTTTAATTCTTAAAAATAAGCAATCTAGTCATTGAAAATTTGCAATTAATATCATTATAAATTCCTTCCTAATTACAAAGAATGTTGTAGGTTGTCTAAAAATCACTGCACATAATTGATCCACATCAAACACCGATGATAGAAGTTATATTTTGACGGCTTCCAGAAGGCTACAATTTAAAGACTTTCACGTAGATCGATGAAGGTTACAATCCGACGACATTCACAACAACTGATGAAAGCTCTAATTAACAGCCTTCACAATCAACATCGAAAGTTACAATCTGACGACTCTTAATTTTCAAAGAGCCAAGACGAAGATTACAAGATGACGGTATTTACAACGCTCTAGCAAAAGAGACTACAAATTGACGGTCTCTTTAAATCCAGATGCAGAGGTGAAGTCTCTTTAAATCCAGACGTAGAGCTCACATCTGCGTCTCAGATTCAAAATGCAGAGCTCGTGGCCACGCTCCAAACTCCCAAAAGCAAAACGCAGATCCTGTAGTTGTGTTCCTGAATGAGACGCAAAGCGCAAGAGCTGTGTTCCAACTTTAAAGCGCAAGGGTCAGCCTTATAGTCCAGATTCAAAATGCAGCGCGACCTGTGCATTCTCAGCCGCTAACGCAGGTCCTAACTCTGCGTTTCAGTCCCAGAACGCAGTGTTCGTGCCCAGAACGTAGATTTTATATTTGACTCGTTTAAATATGAGTTAAACTGTTCTAAAATCGTTCGGCAATTACACCCCTTAAACCACTTGAATGGTTTCAAAACCGTTTTCCATGAAATAGGATCGGTTACACCCCATTAAGGAGAGATTTTAGGGGGCAGTTACACCCCTAAAAACCCTATAAATGACAAAAAACTCAGCGGAGTTGGGGGATATTTGATCTGGAATTTTGGATATCAAAACTGCACAAATGAGAGATCGGCATTCATCTTTTGGAGCAGTCCTCAGAGCTTTCGGCCTTGGCTTATTAACCGATTTTCGGTTCAAATCAACTCTTTTATAGAGTTTTTCAACTCGTTCAGAGTTCTTTAACTCGTTAAGAGTATCACACTTGCCACGCAAGTTCCATCAATCGTTCCAGCAAAGTGAACGTCGGATTATCAACGAGAAGCAAACTCGAAATAAATGTCGAGGGAGGCATCCCATCGCCACCGTGAAGAACCCAGACTTAAACAAAGGGGAAGATCTCTGTCGATCTTCTTCTCTTTTGTAAACATCAGGAAACCGATCAAGAAGATTGTAATTTTTTTTCTAAGCTTGTTAGAGAGAGATTACTTTGAGAAAATTGTATTCATTCTTTTTCTAAAGTCAGTTAGAGAGATAATACAATAAATCATATTCTCAATTTTTTTCTTCAAATTTTCCCACCAAACAAATGTAAGATACAGTGGATAAATGAATAAAAGGGTAAAATAGAATTAAAAGCAAGGAATTTACTGATTGTGCTTTGAGAGTAGAAAAGTAACCAATTTCGAAAGAGAAAACACCTTCGAAAAATAACAAAAACATTATTTGAGGGTTCAACTATAGGTAGTAAATTGAGAAAATTTGTGAAATAAGGGATAGAGCATTATGTTGCATTTACATGTAATTAAGTCATAATTCCTTAATGTGGCTTGATCTTAATTTTATTTTTATACAAACTAATTCCTACTGCTAGCAACTATAATGAGTTGCACTTGGAAAATAGATGCCAAATGATATTGTATGGTGCAAATATAACAATACTATTCCAACAACTCACACATAATGGCCTAATAAAACAATATAGTAACAAAACTCTACATTCAATATAACATATTTTCATGAATCGGTCACTTGAGGTGACAACCAAACATGTATGAACGAGTTAGCTCTTGATGCATATTTTACTTTAGCAAACAAAATAATGCAAACTAATTTCTTAAATATATCGTGCCTCAAGGACAAACATTATAATATCGTATATTCATCATCAGAAAAAAAAGAAACAAAGGCAGTAGAAAGAAGAGAAATAAGAGAAAAACATGAAATAGAAATATCGCAAGCTTAAACGGGGTCTTAAATTATTTAGGCACGGAAATTTCCTAGTCCAAGATCTTCTTAATGACCTTCTCCTTCACCTGAAAACCATAGAAGTTCCCCATCACTGATTCTGAGAGAAAAATTATAGAATATGATAATTGATCTGTCAAAAAAATATTATCAAATATTAAAACCCACTACCATAATTCACCAACCAAGTATAATAATCTCGTTATAATGTTTCTTTTCAGAGATTCGCTATTAATGTTATACATAAATAAATAGAAATGAATAAAATTTTGACAGAGGAAATCTTCAGACCTGAGCACATATCAATAATTCATTACTTTAGAGGAAATATTCAGATCTGAGCACATATCAATAATTTATTCTCTCGCCAACTGTGACAGAGGAAATCTTCATTATCTCATCAATAAAAACCCTCAAAAATCAACCTTTCCAATGATTAGCTCTTACTGGAAATATATGCGCCATATCCTTTTCAAAATTAAGATGCAAATTACATGTTTTTGTAAACCCTTCACATTTTATGTTAGACATCAGTTTTATTTTCATACAAAAGCTGATTTGACATTGCTATTTTACTTGTAATTTTTATATTGTTAACTGTAAATAGAAACACTAAGACTATTTTCTTGGCAAATGAAACTGTTAATTTAAATATGTTTTTGTAGATTGTCTAAAAATCACTGTAGATAGCTGATCCCCATCAAACACCGATGATAAAAGTTACAATTTGACGACTTTCAGAAGGCTACAATTTAAAGATTTTTACGTAGATCGATGAATGTTACAATCTGTCGAACTTCACAACAACCGATGAAAGCTCTAATTCAACAGCCTTCACAATCAACATCGGGAGATACAATCTGATGATTCTTATATTTTCAAGGAGCCAAGACGAAGATTACAAGATGACGATCTTTGTAACGCTCTAGCAAAAGAGACCACAAATTGATGGTCTCTTCACATCAAAACGCAGAGGTCATTCCTGTGTTACAACATCAAAACGTAAGGGTCGGATCTGCGTTGTAACATCAAAACGTAGGAGTCGGACCTGCGTTGCAACATCAAAATGCAGGGGTTGTACCCGCATTTTCTGCTTTTGATTGGTTCAAACGGAAACTGAACGGTTTTAAAACTATATCTCCACTTAATGGGGTCGGTTACACCCCATTATGGAGAGATTTTAGGGGGAAGATTACACCCCTTAAACCCTTGAATGGTTTCAAAATCGTTTTTCACGAAATGGGGTCGGTTACACCCTATCAAGGAGAGATTTTAGGGGGCGGTTACACTCCTAAAACCCCTATAAATGGCGAAAAACTCAGCTGATCGAGTTCGGGGATCTTCGATCTGAAATTTTGGAGATCAAAACAGCACAAAGGAGAAGTCAACATTCTTCAACCAAGAGCATCCTCGGCAACAGAGAGTTCTTGGAGCTTTCATTCTTGCCTTATTAACCGATTTTCGGTTCAAATCAACTTTTTTTCAAGAGTTTAAACTCGCTCTGAGTTATCAACTCGTCAAGAGTTTCAAACTTGCCACGTAAGATCTCCTCAACGTCAATCAAGAGGAATCAACCACGTTCTACAAAGTGAGGTGGTCCGATCGTCAACGAGAAGCAAACTCAGGATGAACGTCGAGGGAGGCATCTCATCGCTACCATGAAGAATCCAATTTTAAACAAATGAGAAGATATCTGTCGATCTTCTTCTCTTTTATAAATCGGGATTCCGATTAAAAAGAGTGTAATTTCTTTTTCTAAGACTGTTGAAGAGAAATTGTATCGAGAGAATTGTATTCATTCTTTGTCTAAGTCAGTTAGAGAGATAATACAATAAATAATATTCTCAATTGTCTTCTTTAAATTTTCCCACCAAACAGTTTTACTGTAAATGGAACTTAAGGATACTCATAAATGAAAAGAGAAATAAAATTAAAACGACAAAAAAGGAAAACAACAAATGGTGGGTAAAAAGAGCCAAAAAAAATGTTAGCTTGAGGTTGATCTTTTTTGCGCTGATCATGTACGCTATCATTATTCTTTGCTCCTTTCTTAATTATAACACTTCCATGCTACTGTCTTAAGCATCAATGTCAAAGATCAATTTGCTTGCTCAGAGATCCAACCATAATTGAACAAATTATATGTTTGTGATAAATCTAAACAATTATCGTGGTCAAGTACAACATTCTAGAACAAAGTTCACATATTTAAACAAAGCTAAATAGAGACCCAAACACAAACACCTAAAGTGCGGGGAAAAAATCGCGTTCGCATAAAAAATAACATGGTTGTCGCCATGACCACGGACTTCTCTATGCACCTTCGAAATGTGCTCTCTCAAACTTATCAAAAAGCTCTCTCTCCTTCTCATACCATTAGGAAACATAAAAGGATTTACCAAAAAAAGGATAATTAATTAAATAATTGATGTTAGGATCTAAAAACTTTTCTATTCAATTCTCACTAACTTGTAATAGTCCTATTACATCTCAGATTACGAACATAAATTTGCCTACTTCCAAGTGAAATATATTTTCAAAAGATTATCAACAATCTACAACATAATTCCCAATCAATGCACCAATCAAAAAGTCCCAAATCCAAATGATTAACCTAGGGCTTCAAAACCCCAAACAAAAGAAGCATACATAACTGAAAAATAATTACATTTGGTTTTTAGACCGGGGTAGAGAGAAATTACCTGATTTTAGGGACAGAGAGAAATTACCGGTGTTGCTTGTCGTTGAAACCCTAGAAACCTCATCGTTCAAAAGCCATGAAGAAACCCTAAAGTTAGGTAATCATCAATGAATCCTTTTATTTTTTTGCAGAAAAACACCACAATCCCTAGAAATCGCCTTACGAATGCAATAAATGAGATTGGAAAAGCCTAGAATTTGCTAAAGCTCACCAACCTGAAACCCTAGAGGACGGTGGGAGAAGGCGAATCTTGGAGGTCACTGGCGAGATAAGAGAGAGAAATTGAATGGCCCACCAACGATCAATCAGCTGAAAAAAAAGCAAAAATGATTTTTGGCTCGCGCTTTAACGCACAGTAACAGGGGGTG